TTTTTGTAATAATCGATTTACAAAGCAGTTAAAGTCCTCTTCATTTTTTATGAATTTGGGTATATGTATATTTCCTCAAACAAAGACTATCGATAGTGGCCAACCACCATTAGATAGAGCAAAACAATGGAATCATTCGATGGTATCGATAGTACCATTGATAGTTTTACAGCTTTAGTGCCGATGTTTTTGGAAAAAAATTGTGCATTTGTTTACGCTTGGGCTGTGAAAAATTGAATTGGTTTCGCCATGCTTAAACTACTTCCCAGCAGCTCATTTGGAGGTAATCCAAGCGCAAAATGTGGAGAAATCTACTGTCACAGCTCCACCGAATTTACCATAGTTTGTTCGCTCTGCGGCTTGAAAGCATTCCACTATGAGGACTTCTTGTTGCACTGCAAAAATGTACACTTCGAAAATGATTTGTTGAGGACTGAGGAAGTCCTTCTCGAAGTGACACCTTACTTGGCAGCAAATGTGAAAGATGAGCTTTTAATTGAAGAAAACAGCGATGACGTTGAATTCATGGAAGTGAACGACTTTGACATATCTGATGCTGAGGACGAAAAGGCTGGATTACGCATCATGAAATGGGAACAGAAACAGGCTTTGTTTGAGTCTCTGGAGACTGGGACGCAAAATGACGAGGAGGATAATTATGATAGGGATCAAGATTTCTCACCAACTTCACATAAAAAAAAGGTATACCATTTCTCTAAAAAATTGCTAGTGGCAAATATGTACTTTACATACCAGGTTTTAAATTCCAGCTTAAAGAAATTAAACGTGTTCGAACTGAAACATACAAATGTGAAATATGTTCTCGTACTTACAAAAGCAAACATAATTTACGCCTACATTTGCAAAAAGCACATAGTCCTGAAGGAGGAAAGACTTTAGCTATACAAATGCAAAAATGCGAGGAATGTGCGGAAGAATTTAAAACATTGCGTAGTTTGGAAGATCATTGCCTAACAGTGCATGGAGGCATGAAATGTTCGCTTTGTGAAAGGAGATTAACGTCAAGGACAAATCAGTTAAGGCACATTGAAACTCACACGCACGGAACAGAGCGGAGATTTGCCTGCGATTACGAAAACTGTACGAAACGCTTCTTTACACGTCGACAATATCAAGCTCATAAGCGCATCCACACCAGAGCCAAGAACTTCATTTGTGATATTTGTGGCTATTCCTGTCGAGTGCCTGAAATGCTTAAGGTACATTATCGTTCACATACAGGAGAAAAGCCATACGCTTGTGAGGAATGTGGAAAACGTTTTATATCTAAATCGGCAGTCAGAGAGCACAAAGTAACGCATGGTACAGAACGTCCACATGTGTGCAAAGTATGCGATCGTTCATTTGCTCATGCAAAATCTCTCTATCACCATAAGTTCTTGCATCTAGAAGAGAAGAAATTCAAATGTAAGGTTTGTGGACAAGCATATGCGCAGCTAGCGGGATTGGCTGGGCATATGAGACGACACCGCGAAGATGGTGAATGTTGAATAGATATCCAAGTTATTAAGGAAAACTTCTTTATATTTATTTTATGAAGTAAACTCTTTCTATTTAAAACACACAGCACAGTCATCGGATAATGATAATTATAATGCCTTAAAAATATAAAATGTTACGGATTAAAAATAAAAATAATGGTCGGAATAGTTGTTCTGAGAACTTGCATTACAGTTTTCGAACTTTATTTATAACAAGTAATTTTGAAGCAAGTCAAGAAGCCGCAGAGAAAAAA